CAGCCCAGCCCAGCCCAGCCCACCGGATCCCAGCCCTGCCGGTGGTGCTCCCACGCCCGTGCCTTAGCTCTCCTGGGACCCAGCGGGGCCCTAGTCCTGCAGGCTTCTTCCAAGGCATCCACGGTCCCCGGCCCAGAGAGGATGACACTCTCTGAAGCCCTCTGGCGTTGCTCTCTGCCAGCTCCTTAATCATCTGTGCCCCCAGCAATAAGCTGCCTGGACTTGAGACTGAGAAAACCCACGGGGAGCATGTACCAGGCGCCTGGCATGGGCAGGGCCCAGAGAAGGTCCGCCATCTCTCCCTGGCCTGTTTCCTGATATACAGGGACAAGGATGGGGCCTCCACAAGCAGATCTGAAAAGGATGGCTGTTCTGGCATAGCAGAGGGCTCAGAGCCTGCCCTGGAGAGGAGGCTGGCTGAGGTCCCTACATAGCAATGTGGGGCCAGTGGCAGGAAGGCCAGAGGGAGGGGCGTTGGGCTCCCAGAAGGCTCCTGCTTCACGGGAGGTGGAGGAGAACTGAGGAGTGGTGACGGGTGGTCTTGGGTCGGCCCTGCCTGAGGACATGACTCAGTGACCTCACTGAGGGGGTGTGGTCAGTAGGAAGGGGGCCTCCCTGGAGGGAGGCCAGAAGGTCTGGTTGGGGCTGTGAGGCTGCTCGGGGCCAGAAGTCGGGGTATCACTGCTTTGCTTCCTCGTGGGGATGGGGGACCCCGGACGCTGTGGAGACAAGTGGGGTGTGTGGCAAGACCCCAGCCCCGCTTGGGTAGTGATCTTGGTCCAAACCTTGGCCCAGACCCTGACTCTATCCTACCTAGGGCCCTGCCAGTTTGGCCCCTGACCCTTGCCAGCAGGGGACACTTGAGGCTCACTTGGTTGGTAGTGTGGGGTGGCTCTGGGTCCTCAGCCTGGAGGGCCGTCCAGGGACACTGGCAGCAGAGCCCGGCCTTCTGCTCCTGCTCACGGGGTCTCCCTAGGTGCCCAGCAACTGTGGGTGGTGAGGTGGTGGGTCATTCCCTCAGAAGAGGCCTGTAGTCTTGTGGCTTCCTTGGGTCTTTGTCCTTTCTTTCTGGTAAACACACTGCCACATGGGAACACCCCACAGCCCCAGGAGGGGCAAGTGTTTGTGTGCTGCTCAGGGCGCCGGCCGCGGGCTCTTTCCTCTTCTGCGCTCTGAGCTGGTTTGCTCTGAGACGGTGCGGGTTTGGGCTGGCTGAACCAGGACAGCATCCCTTCTCCTTGATGTTTTACCCCTCCCTGGGGACCCCCATGTACCCCTCCTGGACAAAGCAAGGGGCAGAGTGTGAGCCGTGGCACCTGCCCTGAGCCTGGGAGCAGCGGTGGAGCCGGCCCTGCATGTCCAGTGTCCCAACTCTGTGCTCCATCTGCACCGCGTCCCAGCCTGCCTGGTGGGCAGCTGGATAAGGGGGTGCTGGCTGGGGCAGAGGTAAGAAGTGTTGGGTTGGAGGATGGAGGACCTGCCTGGTGAGCAAGTGGGACTACCGGCCCTGGGGCTTGGGCTGAGACCAGTGACTGGAGGGGTTTGCTAACCCCTGGGTTGTGCCAGAGGGGTCCCCTTTGGCTCCTCACCGTGCAGATGGAGAAACTGAGGCTAGTGATGTGCCCCAGGTCTCCACGTGTCTGTGGGGCGGAAGTGGGGTTGGATACTCTTGCTGGGGTCCTGGCCCTGGCCCTTTGGGGCCCAGAGTGGGAGAGATAGGTGTGCAAGTGGTTGATGGCTCTCTTTGTGGCTGAGCAGCCTCTGTCCCTGGGGCCCTGTCACAGTGGGAAACTACGTCTGGCCCCCTGCATTGTTACCACCTCGGCCTGCACCTGGCAGCCGGCCCTGGCCCTTTGGCCCCTGTGATCTGTCCCTACTTCTCTGAACTCCTGGAGGGCAGAGCCGCCTTATTTGCGCCCGGCACCTGGCGAGCCCTGTGGGGGAGTGGTGGCCAGTGGTCCGGGGGCAGAGGCAGACCAGAGCCCGAGGTCTCCGCGGGGAAGCTCTTGGGAGATGTTTAAGGCGGGACATGGCTGTGGTGACCCTCACCCTGCTGTGCTCGGGCGCCCTGACCTCTGTTCCTGACCTTCTTTGCCAGAGGGCTGGCCATCCCGGAATAACCTGGGCTTGGAAATCACAGAGGCCAGAATTCCGCAGAGGAGAGGGCGACTGTCCTGGGTGGGGATGGGGTTTCTGCTGATTGCAGGCTGTGAAGGGGCCGGGCTTCAGGGGGGCTAGGCTTCTATTACCACAGACCACTTTGACGTTCGTGTTGGGGTTCAGCACATCCCCAGGGCATGTGTGTGTCCCTCTCTGCCCTGTCCTGGTGGCTGTTCTGTCACCTCAGGGCTGTGGGTCAGCCCTGGCTGGAGCTGTCCTTCCTGGGGCTCCTGGGGTGTGGTTGGGGGAGCTGAGGCCCAAGGAGGGTCGCTCCTTCAGCATGGAGCTGTAGCAGGGCTGGGGAGAGCACTGGCTGTGACGGAGGGGATGGGCCAGGGCTCCCGGTGACCCCTTTTCTGTTTGCTTCCTTCTCCCCTCCTCCCCCAGACGCTGCCTGCCGCTGACCAGCCTGGGATTTATGGAGAGGGCCTCGGGGGGCAGCTCTCAATACCGCCGCGCCCAGCATCGCCGCCGCACCTGCTGCTGACGGGGCCCCCGCGCCTCTGGCCCCC